ATATATATATATAACAACATGCATATACATATACGTGTGTACATACACATATATGTGTGTAGCAAGTGTTATGCAGAGTGCCACTTGTGTATACATATCTATATATATATATAATCATGAACACACAACATTCTAAACATGTACGTGTATATCTAGATATTTAGATTGGCGTCACAGGGGCTATAGGTGTAGGCGTACCGACCCCCTCTTGCCTGGGGGTGCAACTGGATGTCCCCCTCCTCCTTTCCACCTCCCCTGGTGCCTGAAATCACGGTGGAGGGGGTGAGGGGGAGGGGGACGAACTCCTAAATGCACCCCCAAGGTCTCCAGAGCCTCCAAGTCGAATTCCGTGGCCTCCAAAATGCCCAACGTGCCATCAAAGCTCGCTCGAACAGGGCTCCAAAACGCTGAGGAGTTCTCACAGACTACCACGATGGCCTCAAGATTGCCCCAAAGGCCTCGAAGACGCCCCAAGAGGACTCCAAGACGACCCCCGAGAGGGCTCCAAAATAATCGTCAGAACCCGCGGGGAAATGCAGGTTTTCAGCATATTCGCACTTCTTATCTCACATGCGTCCAAGACGGCTATGCCCCCCAGATCGCTCCAAGACGAGCCAAGAAGCCCCAAAGAGGGCCCCAAGACGGCCGACGAGGGTCCCAAGACAGCCCAAGGGGCGGCCAAGATGGCCCCAGCAGGGACCCAAGAGGGGCCCAAGAGAGGCAACTCGAACTGACATTCCTAGCCATCCACCACAAGAGGACCCCCGATACCCACCAGCAGGCGCCCATCCTCCTCCTCCTCCTCCTCCTCCTCCTCCTCCTCCTCCTCCTCCTCCTCCTCCTCCTCCTCCTCCTCCTCCTCCTCCCTCTCCCCCTCCTCCTCCTCCTCCTCCTCCCTCCTCCTCCTCCTCCTAAGAAACTCCCAAGAGGCCCAAGAAGGCCCCCAAGAAGACCCGTGGACGTCATGCCACTGCTGGGGGCCGGCGGACTGGCAGAGGCCGCGCCAGCATACCCACCGCCTCAGGAGGCCCAGGAATCTCGACGCACTGCAGGCGGTGGCTGCGCACAAGTCCCCACGAGTGAAAACGACCTCCTGGCCATCGCTCGGACGTCCTATCTCTGTGTTTTCGGTTTCGTGCGTGTTTTTTTTTGCCAAGTGATCAAGGATGCTCCTCGATGATCCTCGCCGAAAGAAAAATGCACACGTCCGAGCGATGCCAAGCCTCGGGCCCAAGCCTGGCGGGCGCAGGCCTGGAAAAGGACGGCGCGCGGCGCCCTCTCGAGAACCGAAGGCGGGCGATTCACGACTCGACGTGTCAGGGTGGGGTATCTGCCCACCCCGGGCACGATGGCATGTGGGGCGAAAGAGGGCCCGCGCCTCCGCAGGGTGTGGCCTGCAGGAGGAGTGGCTCGCGGCCCGCGCCCTTGGGGAGGAGGCGGGCGAGGGCCTCGGCGCCTCTGCCTGCGCCCGGGCGAGGGCCCCGCCGAGCCTCGGCGCAACGTGGAGACCCCCTGAGCCCCAGCGGCGCCGACGGAAGAGCCTCGTGCGTGGGTGCGGGCAAGATTTATATCCATATCCAGTGCGCATTCGATTTTTTTTGGAAGGGGCGCCACCAGGCCGAGGTGCACTGGACATGGATAAAAATCGAGCCTCTATAGGGGGCAATTTTTTCCATATCCAGTGCGCCTCGGGTTCCTTGGGAAGGGAGCCCGGAACTCCATACTGCAGTGGATATGGACAGAAGTACTGCTCGCAGTGGGGGCCGCAGCGAATCAAGAGGATGCACTCGTCGTTCCCGCGGGCCTTCGGGCCACGAAGTCACCGGGGGCCAGCGCCGGTCACCGCGCGCCGGTGGAGCCAGGACACCACAGTAAAAAACGAGCAGGGGGTGGGCCACCGCCTGCTTCCTTGGAGGCCTCCTAGGTGGGGTCGGAGTAGATGGGGTCGGGCCGCATCGCCGATCCATCGGCGATGCATCGGCGATGCGTCGCTGACCCACATCGAGCCGCATCGGCGATGCATGGGCGACGCGGCGTGCTCATTCGACCCCACCCCATCTAGGAAGCCTAGAGATTCTCTCTACCTCCCCCTTCGCCTTCACCTTCTTCTTCCACCCTTCTTCTGCCAGCTCTGGGCCCGCCACCTGCACCCCTGGCGCAGCAAGACCCGGTGTGGTCGCCGGGGGGGCGAGCTGCAAGCGGACCGCGCTAGCCGGGCCGGCTCGGCACAGGCGCCGCCGGGGCGGGAGCCGCCGCCGCCGCGGCTCCGCCCGGGGGCTGCTGGCCAGCGCCCGGGGGCGCCGGCGCAGGCGCTGGCGCGGCGGGGGCAAGGCTGGCCTCGAGAGGAGCCAGCCGTGGCTCAAGCACGGAGGCTCTGGAGGTCCGCGCGGAGTTCTGGCATCGGCGCTGGACCCCCCCCCCCTCGGAGCTCGGAGCGCGGCCAAGACGACGCCAGGACGAGGATATATAATACACAAGAGGGTGAGGATGAAGCGCGAATCTCCGAGATCCAGCGGCTCTGGAGGATGTCTCGGGCGCCGCCGCCCTCCTCTGGGCGTTCCAGGACGCTCTGGAACAGATTGATCCTCGTCCTGGCCCCGCCCGATGTCCGTCTCGCCCGCCCCCCCCCCAACCAACACGGCGGTGAGAACGCTTTGGGACGGCTTTCTCCTCGTCGATAGCCCCCGTCCAAGGACCCCCCCCCTGGCGCTCGGAGCGCGGCCCCAGCGCCGCTCCGAGAAAGCCGCCTGGAACTCCGAGAGTTCCTGCTAAGACGAGCGCGTTCCACTACTCGCAAATGGCCTGGGTCCGCCGCGGGGGTCCTACGACAGATTACATCACAGCAGACATGTGTTTAGTCGGACGTTTGGGACTACGATAGATTACATCAAAGCAGACATGTGTTTAGTCGGACGTTTGCGAGCAGGCACTCTGCGAGTCGTGGCGCGCGCTCGGACGTCCATTTTACGTATTTGTTTCGGCTTCGTGCGTGTTTTTTTCGCCAAACGATCAAGGATGCTCCTCGATGGTCCTCGCCGAAAGAAAAAAACACACGTCCAAGCGATGCCAGGAGCAGTGGCGCGCGCTCGGTGAATGCTTACATCTCATTTGCGGCTCCCCGGGGGCCGGCGCGAGCTGCTGCTGCTGCTGCGGGCGGCGCGCAGAAAAGGGGGGAGCGAGGGCCCTGCCCTTCCGATGAGGAGGGCCGGCAGATCGGCGGCACGCTAAGAGCGCCCTGGGTGACCCAGGGGAGCCCAGACCCTGACCTTCCAGAGTGTTGAAAAATAGCACTCCAGACCTATAGATCGATCTGGACTGCCTCAAACCTCGACAAGAATTAGGACGTCGACGTCCTGGTGCTATTTTCTAGCCCTCCTGGAAGGTCAGGGGAAGAACCCCCCCCGGGTTATCGACAGCACCGAAGCGAGAATCCATAACTCGCGGGGGCGGATCGAGACGGGCGGTATCGTCAGCACCGCACCAGCAGGCAAAAAGTAGATAGCTACTCCCCGCCCCCCGCGGCCTCCTGCTCCTCCTGCTCCTCCTCTTCCTCCTCCTCCTCCTCCTCCTCCTCCTCCTCCTCCTGCTCTCCTCTCCGCTTCAGGGTGCCAGGATAACACCTCGAGGTGCTGGATGCGTTATCGTTTCACTGGGAGGGGGGGCGGGGGTTCTGAACGGCTTCCCTAGATTCAGAGTGACCTTTGGTGCGCAAGACGCTGCTATCGCAATGCGTTCGACGATCGGGGGACCCCAATTTTGGACGCCCGAAATGTGTACGGAAAGAATGGGAACAATGCACAACAGCAGTTCCTGTTCATTCTGAACAGGACTCGCTGTCCACGCCGCCGCGGCCTGTGTCCATTCGAGAAAGAAGGCCGCCTGCCTAACAGCGGCCGCTGTGGGTTTGGGACAACACTTGCTGTTGGGCATTGTACCCCGTTTTTCCGGACCCATTTCGGACGTCCAAACCAATGGGCCGGGACCAACGGTCACTCCGGCGAAGGGTCACTCTTTTACGTGTAGTCGACAGGTTGCACCAGGACCTTGGAATTCTGATCCAGGCCGCGGTTGTCAGCAGTCCAAAGAAGCGTGTAGCTCTAGAGGGCTCCCTGTCAAGCACCCGGGGAGGTGGTCAAGGGGCCGCCTGTCTTGCCGCTGTTCCCTCGACCTCTCCCAGGGGGTGCGTTCTTGCAGTCGGCGATGGACAAACCTCCCTTTAGTGAACCTCCCTGCAGAGTGAGAGCGGCCCAGGACCGTAACGCGACGCCCTCTCGCGGGCCGAGGACGGCCAATTCGCTAATCGACGTGTCAGGGTACGGCAGGTTCGCGTCGTGTCGACCCCAGCGATGGTTTCTGTCACCTCGGGGATCGTTCAACCTTGAACGATCGGCCCTTTCCGAGACGTGCGATCCTTCAACATCGACCGATTCTGGGTCGCCGGCGGCGTTCAACCTTGAACGCCCACGCTGGGGTCGCCGCTGGTCGACACGACACGAACCTACCGGTAGGGGGTCCACCCACCTCCGATCTTGCAGAGCCTCCGCCAGCATCCAGCCGTGGCGACGGACCTCCGACGGCTGCCGCGGCAGGCAGCGCGCCGGGCCGCCTGCCCGAGACCCTCAAGACTCCTGCCGGGGCCGGGGGACCGCCCTCGGGCTGCGAGGCCGCTGCAGGAACGACTCGGGGGGGAGGGCCCTGAGCTTCCAGGAGGGCTAAGCAATAGCACCTGGACGTCGGCGTCCTGATTCCTGTCGAGGTTTGAGGCAGTCCAGATAGATCTATAGGTCTGGAGTGCTATTTTTTAGCGCTCTGGAAGGTCAGGGGAGCTGGCCCCCCTGCACGAAGCGCGGGGGGGCGGCCCGATGAGAACTCTGAACCTCGTGGGCTTCCGGCCAGCTTGGGGCCCCAGGGGCCCTCGCAAGGCGGTCCAGCTCGAGAGGCGCCGCAGGAAGGCCGGGTCTGATGCTCCAGGCTCAGGTTATCACGGTGGCGCCTTTTTTCGCGACGGTCGGACCTCCGGGAAGGCGGCGGGCCTCTGGGAAGAAGGCTCCTCTCGCTAGGCTGCAGGCTGCCTGCGCTTCAGAGGGGAAGGCCCAGGAGGGCCTCGTGGTCCCAGTTGAGAGGGCAAGGGTGCCTTCGCCGAAGGTCGCCTCCCCAGCTCCCAACCCCCTTCGGCGCGCCGCGGATGCTGCGGGCAGCCACCTGGCACGTCGGCCCCGGGTGGCGCTCCGACCCCGGCAGCCCAGGGAGATGCCGGTGCTGCGGGTTGCAGTGCGCTCGGGGCCGCGCTCGCCCACGGCCTGGCTGCAGCTCCAGCTGGAGCTGGAGGAGCGCCACTGAGACTCGCGGCCACGCTGCTGGCGGGGAGGTGTGGGTAGCCGCCCGGCACGCCAGCTCCCGACGGGGCTTCGACCTCGGCGGGAGCAGGGAGAACGCCCACGCTCGGGGCCGCGCTGCCGGCAGAGACGTGCGGGTAGCTGGCGGGCAGGCCAGCCCCAGCAAGTGCTGCGACGGCGGCTGGCGGTGAAGCTGCGGCCGTCAGCGGGCCGACGCTCGGAGCTATGCTGCCGCTGGGGAGCTGCGACCAGCCGCCTGGCACAGCTCCAACGCTGGGGTCAAAGCCGCCGACAGGTGGCTGTGGGTAGCCGCAGGGCATGCCAGCCCCAGGAAAAGCTACAGCTTCAGCTGGCACTGGGGGCACACCAACGCCTGAGGCTGCTTGGCCAACAGACAAATGCGGCTGGACGCCTGGCACGCCAGAACCGCCCGGGGCTACCGCTCCAGACAGCACTGGAAGAGCACCATCCACGATCGCGGCAGCTGCGCTGCCTGCAGTGAGGTGCGGGTAGCCACCAGGCACCCCAGCTCCAGCTGGGACTGCGGCTGCGGCTGGCGCCGGGGCACCGCTGGAAATGACGGCCGCTGCGCTGCTGGCAGGCAGGTGCGGATAGCCGCCGGGCACGCCAGCCCCTTCCGGGGCGGCGGCCGCTGCTGTCGCTGGGGCGCCGCTGATAATCGCGGCTGCTGCGTTGCCTGCAGTGAGGTGCGGGTAGCCACCGGGCACCCCTGCTCCGGCTGGGACTGCGGCTGCGGCTGGCGCCGGGGCACCGCTGGAAATGACGGCAGCTGCGCTGCTGGCAGGCAGGTGCGGATAGCCGCCGGGCACGCCAGCCCCTTCCGGGGCGGCGGCCGCTGCTGTCGCTGGGGCGCCGCTGATAATCGCGGCTGCTGCGTTGCCTGCAGTGAGGCCAGCTCCGGCTGGGGCGGCAGCCGCGGCCGGCGCTGGGGGTGCGCTCGGGGCTGCCAGGGGGACCTGTAGGTGGCCGCCGAGCGCGCCAGCTTGGGCTGGGGCGCCAGCCGCCGCCTGGCCATCGGCCTCCGCCGCGACCGAAGCGCCAGCGTGTGGCAGCGGGCTGCCGCCAGGAGCGCCAGCTCCAGCCGCGGCTGGCAGTGGGGCTGCGCCGAGACCTGCGGCTGCGGCGACAACGGGGGGCAGCTCCGGGCCGGGCGCAGGTGCGGCCGGCACAGGAGGGGTGCCGGAGCTCGGGGCTGCGCCGGTGGCGGAGAGTTGCGTCGGGCCGGGCACGCCGTGATCGGCCGCGGACACGGCCCCACCTCGGCGGACCGAAAGCGAGCACGGAGCAACTCTGTGACCCCGTTGCGCCTGGATTTGTGAGTGCACCCGAAGAAAACCCAAAAGTCGGCAGTGAACAACCCTCTCTTTAGTAAACCACCCTTTAGTGACAGCGGCCTGGGACCGAAACCAGCGGACCTCGACCCGCAAAAATGACGGCCGCGACGCCCTCTCGCGAACCGAAAACGGCCAATTCACTAATCGACGTGTCAGGGTAGGAGGTCTGCCCTGACTACCTACCAGACCACACCAACCCAACCCGACGACCCGAATTTGACCTGAATTTCGGGTGGGGGGGGTACGGGTTCCATGTGTTTCTTCAACGTTCCTAGACCCCCCCCCACTGGAAATGGAGGGCAAATTGAAGCCTTCGGGTTGGGTTGGGGTGGTTTGGTGGGTGGTGATGTCCACCCCCGAAAAAGAGCAGAAACGAATGTGGTCCTCACTCCAGCCTCGAGGCTGGAGTGAGGACCCTCTCCGATCGGAGAGGAGCGGTGGGAGGGGGCCCTGCCCGGAGGGTAGCGAGGCGCGCTGGTGAGAAGTCTGGGGCCCTGGCCCGGCGTATGCTCCAGCGCCGCCCACTCCCCGATCCTCCCCCCTCCGTCCTCCACCGCTTCTCGCCTCCATCCTTTCTTCTCCTCCTTCTCCCGAATTTCATCCTTCTCCCCCCTTCTCCCCAATCCTCCTCCTCCTCCTCCTCCTCCTCCTCCTCCTCGTACTCGTCCTCGTCCTCATCCTGCTCCTCCTCCTCCTCCTCCTCCTCCTTCCTCCTCCCTGCCCCACCCTGTCCATGTGTTCCTGTTTCTGGTCCTCGTGTCTTCCTCCTCCCCGCGGCCGTCCTCATTCTCCTCCTCCCCTCTCGTCCTTCAACACCCCCGAAGTGCAGATGTTCTTCCTCCTCGTTTCTCCTTCTCTTCCCTGTACCTTGAAAAAACATTAGGTGAGCATCATGTTGTGCTCCTCCTCCTCCTCCTCCTCCTCCTCCTCCTCCTCTCCTCCTCCTCCTCCTCCTCCTCCTCCTCCCTCTCCTCCTCCTCCTCCTCCTCATGCAGCTGCATTATTTAATCGCTTCGCTCATTCCGCCGGCCCTGCAGCGCTATTTGGGGCCTCGTGGGGCCGTCTTGGGGGCTTCTTGGGGGCTTATTGGGAGCGTCTTGGGGCTCCTTGGCGGCGTAATGGGCTCCCCTGGGGCCTCTTGGGGGCTCTTGGGGGCCCCTTGGGGCGGGAGGGGGTTAGTCGTTGGCAGCCCCCCCCCTCGGAGGCCACGATCCTTGTGAGGGGTGGCGAAAAATAGCCTCCCCCCTGGAGATCGCCGTCCAGCGCCCGAGGTCTGAGACGCCATCTAAGATAGCACAGGACGGGCCAGATCTTGACGCAAGCGTTGGCCTCCTCTTGGTCGCTACTGCCCCCATTGCCTTGAACGAGGAACGCGCCGGCACCATAGGCGTCGTGAGTGGGGAGCCAGGGACCCGCACGCGGTCGACATGTGGGGAAGATTAGAAGAGCCGTTTAGCATCTCGTGCGATGTCACTGACAGACAAACTCTCCCTCACGCGCCCGGCGCAGACTCGCGTGGACGGCGGCCGGGCTACACCCCTGCAGAGGTGTGCGAATGCACAGGCAGACGAGCTTGCCAAACCATGGGCTGCGTGGCATCACGCATGCTGCTGCCCACCTGCGGGCTGGCTTAGATGGCATCCCGAGGGGGGTGGGCCGTTGGGTGCGTCAGCTGCACACCCATGTCGCTGACTAGATGGGCTTGCGGCCTGGGCGAAAAGATGCTCTGGGCAGGCAGGCCGAGGAGGGATACCCTGAGGCGGAGCCGTTAGCGCAGAGCGTGCGGCGGAAAGCTGTCCGGCCAGTGGCGCCACATATGATTTTTGACCCCAACCGCCATGCCTCGTTTGCATGCGAGGCGCCCGAAGGAAGGGCGGGGACGCTACATGAGAGGAGCGAATTCGTCCAGGTCAACCGGCACCTCGAGGTTGCCCGGGTGGAGACCTCTCTTCAACTTGCTGAAATGCGCCAAAGATGCGCCCTCCAACCGCCCCTCCTCATCCGCCTCCTCCTCCTGGGACTTGCGTCGGCTGGGCCGCAGCGTGGAAGGACTACGAGCCAGACGCGCTTCGGGTGCGGGCCCGAGCCTTGCTGTGCGGCGCCCTCGCGGGAAACTGGAGCGTACCGTAATGCGATTGATGGCTTGACTCGGGTTGAGGATCGCGCCTCTGCAAAGCGGGCGCTGCAACGAGCCCTCTCCGATTGCACGCCGCCGCTTCGGATGCCGCCGAGCCGCCACGGGCCGCCCGACCCCCCCGCCCGCGGCCCGCGCACCCCGCTGGCCAAGGGCGCGCGCGACCTGCGTGTGCTGGCCTCCCGGGCCCGCGCACGCAGCGGCTCCGGCTTCGCGCCGCTGAGCGGCGTCGAAAAGGTCTGGAGCTGCAGGGCCTCTCGGTGGCAGCCCAGTGCCTTCCGAGGCCGACCTCGGCGCAGGCACCTCCTGCTGTGGCTGCTGGCCCTCGATCTTTTCCTCCTCCTCCTCCTCCTCCTCCTTGTGTCCTCTTCCTCCTTGTGTCCCTCTCCTCCTCCTCCTCCAGCTGCTCCTGCACCCGTGGTTCATGCTGTTGCTGCTACTCCTCCGCCACCCTACTCCAGGCGCTCCCGCACCCGCCGTTCCTCCCCCATGCTGCGCCGCCAGGACGACCCGCGACGGCGACGACCCACGACGACCCCGACGACCACGGCCCCGACAACCCACGACGACCCACGAGCCGACGACGACGACCAAGACGAAGGCCACGGCGACCACGACGGCGGCCCGGCGCTGGGTGCCGCGCCCGCGCCCGTGGCCGCGCCAGCGGCGGCCGGCGCCGCGGTGGGAGGGGCCACGGCCTATGGGGGCCGTCGGGCAGGGGAGGGGACGAGGGTGGAGGATGCATGATCCCGGGCTCTGGGCCCACGGGCCCCACCCCCCGAGATGGGATGGGTCCCAGGGCTCCACGGCCCCCCCCCCCCTGAGGGGATGAGGGGGGGCGGCGACGACGACGACGAAGACGACGGCGACGGCGACGGCGACGACGACGACGCCGACGCGACGTCGACGACGACGAAGGCGAAGGCTACGACGACGACGACGACGGAGACGACGACGACGACGACGACGACGACGACGACGGCGACGACACCGACGGTGACGACGGCGACGACGACGACGACGGCGACGACGACGACGACGACGCCGACGCGACGGCGGCGACGACGAAGGCGATGGCTACGACGACGACGACGACGACGACGACGACGACGACGACGACGACGGCGGCGACGACGACGACGACGACGACGACGGCGACGACACCGACGGTGACGACGACGACGACGACGGCGACGACGACGACGACGGCGAAGACGACGACGACGACGGCGACGCCGACGCGACGGCGGCGACGACGAAGGCGATGGCTACGACGACGACGACGACGCGACGACGACGACGACGACGACGACGACGGCGTCGGCGGCGGCGACGACGACGACGGCGACAACACCGACGGTGACGACGGCGACGACGACGACGACGACGACGGCGACGACGATGACGACGACGACGCCGACGCGACGGCGGCGACGACGAAGGCGACGACGACGACGACGACGACGACGACGACGACGGCGGCGGCGACGACGACGACGACGACGGCGACGACATCGACGGTGACGACGGCGACGACGACGACGACGACGACGACGGCGACGACGACGGCGGCGACGACGGCTACGACGAGGACGACGACGAGGAGGACGACGACGGCGACGACGACGACGACGACGTTGACGGCAACGACCACGGCGGCGGCGGCGGCAGCGGCGGCGGCGCCGCCGCCGACCTTCGGAGCCCCACACCCACAGGGGGGGGGGGGGACCATCGCAAGAGGGGGGGGCAAGGGGAGGGGGGGCCGATGGCATCAGCAAGAGGGGGGAGGGGCGGACCCGGGACCATACATGCGCCGACACCCGAGGCCGCGAGGTAGTCGAGTCGGCCGGGTTGCCGCCGTGGTTGGACTCTGGAGGCAAGCTTCGGGCCGGGGGGCGATCGAACAAAGAAGCTCGGGATTTGGCTGTTTCACGTATGTGATTGCGATGTTGCTTCGACGTTCCTTCAGCTTGCTTAGGGGAGGGGACGCGAGGTCCGAGAGGGCCCTGGCGGGAGGAGAGAGGCAGAGAGGATGAGGGGCCTGGAAGGGGCCTCGCCCCATGAGAGGAAGGGCCTTGCCCTCCTCCTTGCCCTCCTCATTCTCCTCCTCCTCCTCCTCCTCCTCCTCCTCCTCCTCCTCTTCCTGATCACCATCATCATCATCATCATCATCATCATCATCATCATCATCATCATCATCATCATCATCATCATCATCATCATCATCATCATCATCATCATCAGCATCAGCATCAGCATCAGCATCAGCATCAGTTCGGAGTGCTTCTACCTCTCGAGCGGACTCATCGCGCGCTGCAGCCACGCGGGGAGGCTCCTAAGGTGCGCCATGATGGTCCTGGAGGCGGAACATCGCCGCCGCTGGAAGGAGGTCAGTTGCGCCATCATGTTCGACGACTGCTCGCTGCGGATGGCGGGCGAGTTCTGGAAGGTGGCCCACTTCCTGGGCGGAGCGGCGGGCGACTTCATCCGCGGCCTGGAGGCGGACATGGGCTGCGTCGTCTCGCGCTGGAAGTCCGAGGTGCTCGCGACGACGGCCGCCCTCCGCGCAGCGCTCGTGGGCATCATCCACGAGGGCGAGCTGAAGCAGTCGGCGGAGGCGCGTAACCTTGGGATCGATTGCGGCGCCGCGTCGGGCGCCTCGGCGGTCGCCGTCGGCCGCCTCGCGAAGGCGACGGAGCAGGCAGACCGCGTGCTGCAGGTGAGGCGAGGGCACATTCCCTGCGCCAGGCGGCTGGTCATCAGCGGCTCGCTGCCAGCCGCGGACTACGGCTGCGGGGCCATGGCCTGGACCGAGCCGAGGCTGCAGGCGTGGCGCAGCAAGGTCGCCGCCATGCTGTTCGGCAGCGCTCCTGGGAGGTCGGTGGCGCTGAGCTTCCTGGTCTCGGAGTCGGTCCGCCACGACCCCCTGTTCCAGCATACCTTCCAGCCGCTAGACGCGTGGGCGAAGGCCCTGCAATTGGCCGGGCGCCTGGAGGACCGCCGCGCCATCCTGAGCGCCTTCGTGGGCGCGCAGCGCTTGGCCCAGGAAAGGGGCCTGGCCAAGCTCCCCGGGTCGGGCCCCGCGGGCGCCCTGCTGCTGACGTGCGCGCGGCTCGGCTGGCGCATGGCCTCAGTCCGGACGCTGCGGGACGACCTCGGCCGCGAGGTGGACCTCATGGCCAGCAGCCGCCACACCCTGCAGGGCATCGTCGAGGCAGGCTTGCGCAGGCAGCTTTGGCGCGAGGCGGCAGACCATCATGAGGAGTTGGAGGCTCTGCGCCGCGGCGGGGCTTTCGCCAGCCTGCGTTGCGGCTTCCTGTCCAAGAAGGCGACGGCGAAGCAGGCGGCCTGCAGCTCCTCGGCACGCAACGCCTTGGTGGGCTGCCTGTGGTCGGTCGCGCGGAGAGCGCGGGCCACCCCTTCCGCTCGCCTCCTCGGCCCGCTGCCCGTGGGGTTACGACGAGGCGGGCACGGTCCGGCACCTGGCCTGGCGCTGCCCAGCACTCGACGGGCCTCGGAGGCAGCAGCAGGCGGACGGGTACAGATTCGCGCGGCTGCAAGAGGCAGAGAGGGCGGAGCCCGACACAGGCCAGGAGCACCACATCTGGTCACGCGGGCTGGTGCCAGACCCGCGAGCAGAGGCGCCGCTGCCTTTCGCTCGCACGCTCGTGAGACGCTCGGGCACCCACCCAGGGTCCGTCTTCGAGCGTGAGGTCTTCCTCGACGGCTCCGCCTTCCGCTCCAGGGACAAGGTGCTGGCGCGCGCGGGCTGGGCGGCGGTCACGACGTGGG